TACTTTAGTTTTGATGCAAAAACGCATGATCGCACCGGCTCGCCTGGTGCGTTTCAGCCTTTGTTTCGATGCGTCTTGTGAACGAGGCCCCTTTTTCGAAAATGATTATGGACTGGTAAAGAACTGAGCCATTTCTCTTCGCACCCGAATGCCACGTGCTACCCACTACTACATCTATTCTTGCGCTCAAGTACCAGCCTTACAGCACACTTACTGTACATTAGCTTTGATAGCAGAACACACTTTCTTTTTTTTGACGAACTCCTGTAGGCAGTATACAAATTTTTATCTGTGACGACTTTTTTTATGCTGGATTTATGCGAATCTTCCGCGATAACGTATGCCGGATGGGCTTAAGTTTCTTCTTTACTAGTCAGGGCCAAAGTTAATATCTTTCTTCATATTTAGTTCTTATGGCAGGAGATCGCTCTAGGAAGTAGCCCATTCGGTAAAAGCAACCACACGATGACAAGACCGTCGATGGGTCTCTTCCATGGATCGGTCTCTATCTTTTTGCATTCAAAAAGTCAAATCTATAGTCGCAGATTTAGCTTTTTTGATTTCCTGGATGTAACAGTATCAATTTACTGGCTAAACGAACGAATGAATCATAGATGAATTGCTTGTTCCTTTGGCAGAGTCAAGATCCCAGCTTTCTTTGCGATCGCAGTACTACTTCCGAATACGTCATGTCCGCCAGGACCGTCTAAGAAGAAGGGGAAGAAAAGAAAGACAAAAAAATCTGGCTGAAGTGGATGATAGCTTAGAAGAGAAAGATAAAACTAGTACTGCTTGCACTACACATTTTTGGTTTTCCAGATTGATTTCCTTGCTCACGATGCGCTATCGTATGCTGGGCCTGACGATGAAAATTTGTACGAACCGTCTCGACGTGAGGGTATGTTTCTCGAAACACAGCGAACAGAAGGCGTCTCAACGAGCGATGTCGTTTGTCGCATTATTCGTGATTACGACAAATATGTACGTCGCAATCTTCAGCGTGGCTACTCAGCTAAGGAACTGAATGTTGGATTTCTTGCAGTAAGTTTTCTGGAAAGCGATGTTAAACTTCTGTTCGTTACTGGTTCGTATAAATGCCTCCTAGCTTGATTTCATCGACAGCCTTATCGGTAGATGGTTGCTGTCGGCACTTGTTACGGCTTGAGCTATTTCGGAATGCTTACGCTTTATACAGAGAGTGTGTTCGGAAGGAGTTTTCACTTCTCGTAAATAAAGGCGTTCTTCGTTTAGCGCTAACCTAATTTGACTATTACTATAATCTCTAAAGTCGGCGCATAATGTTTGAATACTTAAATGTCGAGCTTCATTCTCTTTTAAAACAAAGGGTAGGGAATGCATCCGCGCGAATGTTCAAATAACTCCTTGACAAATTCGCACATGGAAATCATACCGTTCAGCAAACCATAAAGAATGGAAGCATCTTCGCGAAAAATGACAAATAAGCCGTCATAAAGAAAAATATGTATACTGTCTATACGAGGCAGGCAAG